ATTTTTTAACATAGGGTGCTGGCAGATTAGGGGCCTCCTATAGCTGCTGCCGGGCCCCCTTAATCTCCCCGGGGCCCCCCCTATACCCCCCTCCTCATGCTCCCTTCCAGGTCCAGGTCTCTGGGGTCCCGAAAGGGCCCTCCCATTGCTGCTGTCCCCAATCGCCACACTTGCCATGGGGCCATTTTCCCGGGTTTCCCTCACAACTGCGGGTTTTTAAATTTTTTGAAAAGGGGGGCTGGCAGATTAGGGGGGCCTCCTATACTGTTTGCCGGGCCCCCCTAATCCCCATGGGCCCCTATACCCCCCCTCATACTGCTGCCGGGCCCAGGCCCTCTCAGGGGTCCCTGAGGGCCTCCCATTGCTGCTGTCCCCATCGCCACACCGCCAGGGCCCAACTTTCAGGTCCCCTCACACACTGCTGGTGTTTTTAATTTTTTTTGACATGGGGTGCTGGCAGATTACGGGCCTTTACTGCTGCCGGGCCCCTAATTTTCCATAGGCCCCTTATTTACCGCCCCCCTCAGCTGCTGCCAGATCCAAAGGTCTCCCAGGGGTCCCTGAAACGGCCTCCCATTGCTGCTGTCTCATCCCCAAACCACTCTGCCTTTGTCCCCAATTCAGGTTTTCACACTGCTGGTGGGTTAAATTTTTTGAAAAGGGGTGGCAGATTACGGGCCCCCATAATGCTCCCAAGGCCCCTAACCCTGCCGGGGCCCCTGTCCGCCCCCTCATGTTTGCTGCCGGGTTTTTTCCCCCAAAAAACATTTGTCTAACCCTGTCCCAAATTTTCAGGTCCCCCTCACATGCTGGTGTGTTAAATTTTTTTGACTTAGGGTGCGGGCAGATTCGGGCCCCTAAACGCTGCCGGGCCCCCCTAATCTGCCAGGGGCCCTTTTTATACCGCCTCCTCATGCTGTTTGCCGGTCCAGAGTTCTCCAGGGGTCCCGTAGGGCCCTTTCCCATTCCCTGCTGTCTCCATCGCCAAAACTTGATGTGCCCCCTTTCGCAAGCGGAGAATGGTCGGGGTCACTGGCCAGGTTCAGAGGTAGCAGAAGCTGCATCGTACAGAGGGTCAGGCAAGAGGGGATGGTCCGGGTCACAAGCCAGGGATCAGAACAGGTAGCAAAGCAGCGTAGTACAGAGGGTCAGACAAGAGGGTCCTAGTGGTCAGGGTCACAAGCCAGGATCAGAGCAGGAGAAGTCAGCAAAGGAACAGATACCAGGGTGGCAGGACAGATACAGGGCCCAGGACAAACACAAACACCAAGGCAGAGTCGTGCAAGTCTGGCCATCCCTTAAATACACCAGTATCATTCAGTTCCAGGTGTTAGCTGGCTGAAAGAAAGGTTTGAGTCTCTGCATGATTGCTGGGAGCACCGCTGGCCAGCCCTCCCTGGTACTGCAGAGATCAAATGGCAGGGTGAGTCCCCACCATTGCTTTAGCCAGTCCAGATACATCCTAAAAGTACCCCCCCCAAGGAGCGGGCCTCAGGACGCTCCAAACAGTCCTAGCTGGGCAACAAATTGTTCCACCGCCCGGGAGTCTGGCAACTGGCGCCGGAATATCAATTCAGACTGGCACAACAGGGACGGGGACTCGGTGCAAGACGGCACACCGAGGCTGGACTCAGGGCAGAGCAACAATCGAGCACGGCACACCGGCAGAGCACCGGGCAGAGGCACATCCGGGCAGAGGCCACTTCGGGCAAGGACTCGGCGACACCGATGGCAGGACTCCGGGCAGAGGCTCACAATGGGCAGAGGCACATCGGCAGGACTACTCAGGGCAGAGTGCACATCGGGCAGGAGAGCATCTTAGGCAGAGGCACATCGGGCAGGACTCCAGGCAGAGGCACATCGGGCAGGACTCCGGCAGAGGCACATCGGCGCAGGCACACTCGGGCACAGAGGCACAACGGGCAGGACTCCGGGCAGAGGCACTATCTGGGCAGGATTCCGGGCAGAGGCACACATCGGGCAGGGCAGATCGGACTCCGGGCAGAGGCACATCGGGCAGGGGACTCCGGGCAGAGGCACATCGGGCAGGAAGCTCCGGGCAGAGGGCACATCGGGCAGGACATCCGGGCAGAGGACATCGGGCCAGGAATTAGGGCAGAGGCAGCATCGGGCCTCCATGGGGCTCCGGCAGTTGGACATCGGGCAGGAAGGGATCCAGGCCCCACATCGGGCAGGACTCAGCGGGCAGACGGCCCCCCAGGGCGGGCAGGACAGGCAGAGGCCCATCGGGCAGGAGGTCGAAGGTGCGGTCAGAGGCACATCGGGCCCCCTAGGCGGAACATCGGCGGGCAGAGGGACCCCAGGGGGGCAACAGGCACCGGGCCACAGGCCAGGGCAGGCACAGCAGGCACATCTAGGCGGGCCCCAGGGCGGAGCGGCAGGCACCGGGACCCCAGGCAGGAGCAGCAGGCACCGGGCCCCCAGGCGGAGGCGCAGGCGCCGGCCACGGGCCCACTGGCGCGGGCAGCAGGCGGACCGGGCGCCGGACCCCTGGGCGGAGCAGACAGGCACCGGGCCCCCGGGCGGTAGCGGAGGCACCGGGCCCCCTCAGGTCGGAGCAGCAGGCACCGGGCCCCCAGGGCGGAGCGGCGGGCACCGGTCCCCCAGGCGGGGCGACAGGTCTCGGGCCCCAGGCGGGGCGGGGGGCGCCGGACCCCCAGGCGGGGCGACAGGTCATCGGGCCCCTCAGGCGGGGCGGACAGGAATCGTGGCCCCCCCAGGACGGGGCGACAGGTCTCGGCCCCCAGGCGGAGCGGCGGGCGCCGGACCCCCAGGCCAGGAGCGACAGGTCTCGGGCCCTCAGGCGCGGAGCGGAGGGCGCCGGACCCCCAGGATGGAGCGACAGGGGTCTCGGAGCCCTCAGGCGGATGGAGCGGCGGGCGGCCGGGACCCCCAGGCGGAGCGACAGGTCTCGGGCCCTCAGGCGGTGGAGCGGGCGGGTCCCGGGACCCCAGGCGGAGGAGCGACAGGTCTCGGGCCCTCAGGCGGAGCGGCGGGCGGCCGGACCCCCAGGTGGAGCGACAGGTCTCGGGCCCTCAGGCGGAGCGGCGGGCGCCGGACCCCCAGGCGGAGCGACAGGTCTCGGGCCCTCAGGGCGGCGGGTCTCGGCGCTCAGGCGAGCGGCGGGCGCCGGACCCCCAGGCGGAGCGACAGGTCTCGGGCCCTCAGGCGGAGCGGCGGGCGCCGGACCCCCAGGGTCTGGAGCGACAGGCAGTCTCGGGCCCTCAGGCGGAGCGGCGGGCGCCGGACACCGGACCCCCAGGAGGAGCGACAGGTCTCGGGCCCTCAGGCGGAGCGGCGGGCGCGGACCCCCAGGTGGAGCGACAGGTCTCGGGCCCTCAGGCGGAGCGGCGGGCACCGGACCCCCAGGAGGAGCGACAGGTCTCGGGCCCTCAGGCGGAGCGGGCGGCGCCGGACCCCAGGAGGAGCGACAGGTCTCGGGCCCTCAAGCGGAGTGGCAGGTGCCGGACCCCCAGGCGGAAGCGACAGGTCTCGGCCCCCAGGCGGAGGCCAGGGCGGGGCGGCGGGCGAGCGGGCCGGATCCCCAGGCGGTGCCCAGCGCGGCGGGCGCTGGACCCCCAAAGCGGAGCAACAGGTCTCGGGCCCCCAGGCGGAGCGCGGACTGCGGGCACCGAGACACCAGGCACGACAGTGGGCTCCGAGTCAACTGGTATGACCGCAGGCAACTGGGTCAGACATTGGGATGGTCTGGGAGCTGGACAGCGGGCATCGGGTCACCAGGCATCAGGTCATTTGGCTCGACAGCGGGGCACCCGCGGGGGGGGGGGCGGGGTCATCTGGCAAGGCAGTGGGCTCCGAGTCAACTGGTATGACCGCGGGGGCACCGGGGCAGACATTGGATCGTCTGGACCGGACAGCGGGCATCGGGTCACCAGGCATCAGGTCATTTGGCTCGACAGCGCGGCACCGCGTCATCTGGCAAGGCAGTGGGCTCCGAGTCAACTGGTATGACCGCGGGCACTGGTTAGACATTGGATCGTCTGACTGGACAGCGGGCATCGGGTCACCAGGCATCAAGTCATTTGGCATTTGGCTCGACAGCGAGCACCGCATCATCTGGCAAGGCAGTGGGCTCCGATGTCAACTGGCATGACCGCGGGCACCGGGGCAGACATTGAATCGTCTGGCTGGACAGCGGGCATCGGGTCACCAGGCATCAGGTCATTTGGCTCGACAGCGGGCACCGCGTCATCTGGCAAGGCAGTGGTCTCTGAGTCAACAGGCACGACAGTGGGGCACCGGGTCATCAGGTACCGGATTGTCTGGCTCGACAGCGGGCATCGGGTCATCAGGTATGACAGCGGACACTAGGTCACCAGGCATCAGGTCATTTGGCTTGCCAGCGGGCACCGCGTCATCTGGCAAGGCAGTGGGCACCGAGTCACCAGGTACGACAGCGGGCTCTGAGTCAATTGGCACGACAGCGGGCACCGGATCAGGTACCGGATCATCTGGATCAACAGCGGGCATCGAGTCAACTGGCCTAATAGGATCGTCAGGCTGGGATCAGTTCATCATGCTGGGTAGAGGCATTAGGCCGAGTAGAGGCTTCAGGCCGAGTAGAGGCATCAGGCCGAGTAGAGGCATCAGGCCGAGTAGAGGCTTCAGGCTGAAGAGAGGCATCAGGCCGAGTACAGGCATCAGGCCGAGTACAGGCATCAGGCCGAGTAGAGGCTTCAGGCCGAGTAGAGGCTTCAGGCCGAGGAGAGGCTTCAGGCCGCGTAGAGGCTTCAGGCCGAGTAGAGGCATCAGGCCGAGTAGAGGCTTCAGGCCGAGTAGAGGCATCAGGCCGAGTAGAGGCTTCAGGCCGAGTAGAGGCTTCAGGCCGAGTAGAGGCTTCAGGCCGAGTAGTAGAGGCATCAGGCCGAGTAGAGGCTTCAGGCTGAAGAGAGGCATCAGGCCGAGTACAGGCATCAGGCCGAGAGTAGAGGCTTCAGGCCGAGTAGAGGCTTCAGGCTGAGGAGAGGCTTCAGGCCGCGTAGAGGCTTCAGGCCGAGTAGAGGCATCAGGCCGAGTAGAGGCTTCAGGCCGAGTAGAGGCTTCAGGCCGCGTAGAGGCTTCAGGCCGAGTAGAGGCATCAGTCTGAACCACGGAAGGCAGGCTCACCCGTTTGGATACTGGCAGGATGGTATTGGTTGGAAAGAATTTTCGCTTTTTTCTGGTTTTAACTACTGGAGCACTGCAAGTAAACGCAGGTCTGCAAACGAATGGAGCAGCTGGGAGACAGAGAAGAACTGGAGGATGGAACAGGAGAGGGAGCAGTAGCAGTTGCTACAGAGGGCTTTTTTTTACAGGGTTAAAGGCAGGATAGGTGCAGCGAGTGGGAACAGGGTACTGACATGCGGTAGATAGCCAAGTATACTGGGCTGTAACTGGAGGAGCTGGTGGGAATACAGGAGTAGAGTTAGAAGCAGGACTGGGTTTTTGTAAGCTGACTGAGGCTGGGTGCAACAAATCTGTCCATGTCTGCAGTAGGGGTTGAACAAAGCTGAGCTTACACAAAGTCTGTCTGGTCAATGACTGTACTGCGTTTATACAATCTCTCAGTGTCTGTGGTGAACATGTGGAATAACGCTCCAGAAAGTAACCCACATCATCCTCTAATAACCACACCAGGGACTCTACCTGGTCTGCACTAAATGGTGGCAAAAATTCATCCCTGCATTCGGGGGAACCAGATGAAACCAACTCTGCACAAACCTCAATCAATGGCTGCACCTCAGAGAATACTGTGCCCTGATCTACTAGAACATGAGCGAGCCGTATACATTCTAGCAATTCATCCCCGGGTATACTCCTTCAGAGTTTGATAAGCATACTCCCTGTCATCAAACACTAGCAGATATAAATATTCAACCTCATCAAGATCCATCCTTCCCATCAACAAGCCAAGATGGCTTCCCTGTGCAGCCACTTCTGGTCAGGATTGGCCTTGGTGTAATGTCAGGGCTCCCAGGTATGACCAGAGGTGTGTGACTGAAGCAGGGAAACGCAGACCTCAGATATGTTATAAAACAATATAATTTATTAACACTAACAGTACAAACATAAACGCAGTGCAATACTAAAACATAATACGGTGCAAACAAACCAAACCAAACCACCCACAAATAACAGTATATACAAGCAAGCGTCGTCAGGCAGGCCGGGTCAATATCAATTGGGCAGGTAGGTACAGGGGGAGCAAGCGGAGAATGGTCGGGGTCACAGGCCAGGTTCAGCAGGTAGCAAGCAGCATAGTACAGAGGGTCAGGCAGAGGGATGGTCCGGGTCACAAGCCAGGGATCAGAACAGGTAGCAAGCAGCGTAGTACAGAGGGTCAGACAGAGGGATGGTCAGGGTCACAAGCCAGGATCAGAGCAGGAGAAGTCAGCAAAGGACAGAAACAGGATGCAGGACAGATACAGGGCCCAGGACAAACACAACACCAAGGCAGAGTCTGCAAGTCTGGCCATCCCTTAAATACACCAGTATCATCTGTTCCAGGTGTTAGCTGGCTGAAAGGTTGAGTCTCTGATTGCTGGGAGCACCCGCTGGCCAGCCCTGGTACTGCAGATCAAAAGGCAGGTGAGTCCCACCATTGCTGGCCAGTCCATTCCTAACACCTATATACCGCCTCCTCATGCTGCTGCCAGGTCCAGAGTCTCTCATGGGTCCCTGTACGGCCTCCCATTGCTGCTGTCTCCATCATCGCCACACTCTGCCATGTGCCACTTTCAGGTCTCCTCACACACTGCTGGTGTGTTGAATTTTTTGACATAGGGTGCTGGCCGATTACGGGCCTCCTATAGCTGCTACCAGGCCCCCCTAATCTGCCATAGGCCCCTATATACCGCCTCCTCATGCTGCTGCCAGGTCCAGAGTCTCTCATGGGGTCCCTGTACGGCCTCCCATTGCTGCTGTCTCCATCGCCACACTCTGCCATGTGCCACTTTCAGGTCTCTTCACACTGCTGGTGTGTTGAATTTTTTGACATAGGGTGCTGGCAGATTACGGGCCTCCTATAGCTGCTGCCAGGCCCCTAATCTGCCATGGGCCCCTGTACCGCCTCCTCATGCTGCTGCCAGGTCCACAGTGTCTCATGCCATGTGCCACTTTCAGGTCTCCTCACACTGCTGGTGTGTTGAATTTTTTGACATAGGGTGCTGGCAGATTACGGGCCTCCTATAAGCTGCTGCCAGGCCCCTAATCTGCCATAGGCCCCTATATACCGCCTCCTCATGCTGCTGCCAGGTCCAGAGTCTCTCATGGGCCCCTGTACGGCCTCCCATTGCTGCTGTCTCCATCGCCACACTCTGCCATGTGCCACTTTCAGGTCTCCTCACACACTGCTGGTGTGTTGAATTTTTTGACATAGGGTGCTGGCAGATTACGGGCCTCCTATAGCTGCTGCCAGGCCCCTAATCTGCCATAGGCCCCTATATACCGCCTCCTCATGCTGCTGCCAGGTCCAGAGTCTCTCATGGGTCCCTGTACGGCCCTCCCATTGCTGCTGTCTCCATCGCCACACTATGCCATGTGCCACTTTCAGGTCTCCTCACACACTGCTGGTGTGTTGAATTTTTTGACATAGGGTGCTGGCAGATTACGGGCCTCCTATAGCTGCTGCCAGGCCCCTAATCTGCCATGGGCCCCTATACCGCCCTCCTCAAGCATGCTGCTGCCAGGTCCCAGAGTCTCTCATGGGTCCCTGTACGGCCCTCCCATTGCTGCTGTCTCCAATCGCCACACTCTGCCATGTGCCACTTTCAGGTCTCCTCACACACTGCTGGTGTGTTTGAATTTTTTGACAATAGGGTGCTGGCAGATTACGGGCCTCCTATAGCTGCTGCCAGGCCCCTAATCTGCCATAGGCCCCTATATACCGCCTCCTCATGCTGCTGCCAGGTCCAGAGTCTCTCATGGGTCCCTGTACGGCCTCCCATTGCTGCTGTCTCCATCGCCACACTCTGCCATGTGCCACATTCAGGTCTCTTCACACTGCTGGTGTGTTGAATTTTTTTGACATAGGGTTGTGCTGGCAGATTACGGGCCTCCCATAGCTGCTGCCAGGCCCCTAAATCTGCCATGGGCCCCTGTACCGCCTCCTCATGCTGCTGCCAGGTCCACAGTGTCTCATGCCATGTGCCACTTTCAGGTCTCCTCACACTGCTGGTGTGTTGAATTTTTTGACATAGGGTGCTGGCAGATTACGGGCCTCCTATAGCTGCTGCCAGGCCCCTAATCTGCCATAGGCCCCTATATACCGCCTCCTCATGCTGCTGCCAGGTCCAGAGTCTCTCATGGTCCCTGTACTGCCTCCCATTGCTGCTGTCTCCATCGCCACACTCTGCCATGTGCCACTTTCAGGTCTCTCTCACACACTGCTGGTGTGTTGAATTTTTTGACATAGGGTGCTGGCAGATTACAGGCCTCCTATAGCTGCTGCCAGGCCCCTAATCTGCCATAGGGCCCCTATATACCGCCTCCTCATGCTGCTGCCAGGTCCAGAGTCTCTCATGGGTCCCTGTACGGCCTCCCATTGCTGCTGTCTCCATCGCCACACTCTGCCATGTGCCACTTTCAGGTCTCCTCACACACTGCTGGTGTGTTGAATTTTTTGACATAGGGTGCTGGCAGATTACGGGCCTCCTATAGCTGCTGCCAGGCCCCTAATCTGCCATGGGCCCCTATACCGCCTCCTCATGCTGCTGCCAGGTCCAGAGTCTCTCATGGGTCCCTGTACGGCCTCCCATTGCTGCTGTCTCCATCGCCACACTCTGCCATGTGCCACTTTCAGGTCTCCTCACACACTGCTGGTGTGTTGAATTTTTTGACATAGGGTGCTGGCAGATTACGGGCCTCCTATAGCTGCTGCCAGGCCCCTAATCTGCCATAGGCCCCTATATACCGCCTCCTCATGCTGCTGCCAGGTCCAGAGTCTCTCATGGGTCCCTGTACGGCCTCCCCCATTGCTGCTGTCTCCATCGCCACACTCTGCCATGTGCCACTTTCAGGTCTCCTCACACACTGCTGGTGTGTTGAATTTTTTTTGACATAGGGTGCTGGCAGATTACGGGCCTCCTATAGCTGCTGCCAGGCCCCTAATCTGCCATACCCCTAGCCTCCTCATGCTGCTGCCAGGTCCATAGTCTCTCATGGGTCCCTGTACGGCCTCCCATTGCTGCTGTCTCCATCGCCACACTCTGCCATGTGCCACTTTCAGGTCTCCTCACACTGCTGGTGTGTTGAATTTTTTTGACATAGGGTGCTGGCAGATTACGGGCCTCCTATAGCTGCTGCCAGGCCCCTAATCTGCCATGGGCCCCCTATACCGCCTCCTCATGCTGCTGCCAGGTCCAGAGTCTCTCATGGGTCCCTGTACGGCCCCATTGCTGCTGTCTCCATCGCCACACTCTGCCATGTGCCACTTTCAGGTCTCCTCACACTGCTGGTGTGTTGAATTTTTTGACATAGGGTGCTGGCAGATTACGGGCCTCCCATAGCTGCTGCCAGGCCCCTAATCTGCCATAGGCCCCTGTATACCGCCTCCTCATGCTGCTGCCAGGTCCAGAGGTCCACAGTGTCTCATGCCATGTGCCACGCCACACTCAGGTGCCACTTTCAGGTCTCACACACTGCTGGTGTGTTGAATTTTTTGACATAGGGTGCTGGCAGATTACGGGCCTCCTATAGCTGCTGCCAGGCCCCTAATCTGCCATAGGCCCCTATATACCGCCTCCTCATGCTGCTGCCAGGTCCAGAGTCTCTCATGGGTCCCTGTACGGCCTCCCATTGCTGCTGTCTCCATCGCCACACTCTGCCATGTGCCACTTTCAGGTCTCCTCACACACTGCTGGTGTGTTGAATTTTTTGACATAGGGTGCTGGCAGATTACGGGCCTCCTATAGCTGCTGCCAGGCCCCTAATCTGCCATAGGCCCCTATATACCGCCTCCTCATGCTGCTGCCAGGTCCAGAGTCTCTCATGGGTCCCTGTACGGCCTCCCATTGCTGCTGTCTCCATCGCCACACTCTGCCATGTGCCACTTTCAGGTCTCCTCACACACTGCTGGTGTGTTGAATTTTTTGACATAGGGTGCTGGGCAGATTACGGGCCTCCTATAGCTGCTGCCAGGCCCCTAATCTGCCATGGGCCCCTATATACCGCCTCCTCATGCTGCTGCCAGGTCCAGAGTCTCTCATGGGTCCCTGTACGGCCTCCCATTGCTGCTGTCTCCATCGCCACACTCTGCCATGTGCCACTTTCAGGTCTCCTCACACAATGCTGGTGTGTTGAATTTTTTGACATAGGGTGCTGGCAGATTACGGGCCTCCTATAGCTGCTGCCAGGCCCCTAATCTGCCATAGGCCCCTATATACCGCCTCCTCATGCTGCTGCTGCCAGGTCCAGAGTCTCTCATGGGTCCCTGTACGGCCTCCCATTGCTGCTGTCTCCATCGCCACACTCTGCCATGTGCCACTTTCAGGTCTCCTCACACACTGCTGGTGTGTTGAATTTTTTGACAGGGTGCTGGCAGATTACGGGCCTCCTATAGCTGCTGCCAGGCCCCTAATCTGCCATGGGCCCCTATATACCGCCTCCTCATGCTGCTGCTGCCAGGTCCAGAGTCTCTCATGGGTCCCTGTACGGCCTCCCATTGCTGCTGTCTCCATCGCCACACTCTGCCATGTGCCACTTTCAGGTCTCCTCACACTGCTGGTGTGTTGAATTTTTTGACATAGGGTGCTGGCAGATTACGGGCCTCCTATAGCTGCTGCCAGGCCCCTAATCTGCCATGGGCCCCTATACCCGCCTCCTCATGCTGCTGCCAGGTCCAGAGTCTCTCATGGGTCCCTGTACGGCCTCCCATTGCTGCTGTCTCCATCGCCACACTCTGCCATGTGCCACTTTCAGGTCTCCTCACACACTGCTGGTGTGTTGAATTTTTTGACATAGGGTGCTGGCAGATTACGGGCCTCCTATAGTTGCTGCCAGGCCCCTAATCTGCCATAGGCCCCTATATACCGCCTCCTCACTGCTGCCAAGGTCCAGAGTCTCTCATGGGTCCCTGTACGGCCTCCCATTGCTGCTGTCTCCAGCTGCCATGTCCACTTTCAGGTCTCCTCACACACTGCTCTCATGGGTCCCTGTACGGCATCCCATTGGCTGCCAGATTGTCTGCCATCGCCACTCTGCCATGTGCCACATTCAGGTCTCTTCACACACTGCTGGTGTGTTGAATTTTTTGACATAGGGTGCTGGCAGATTACGGGCCTCCCATAGCTGCTGCCAGGCCCCTAATCTGCCATGGGCCCCTGTACCGCCTCCCATTGCTGCTGCCAGGTCGCCACAGTGTCTCCATGCCATGTGCCACTTTCAGGTCTCCTCACACTGCTGGTGTGTTGAATTTTTTGACATAGGGTGCTGGCAGATTACGGGCCTCCTATAGCTGCTGCCAGGCCCCTAATCTGCCATGGGCCCCTATATACCGCCTCCTCATGCGCTGCTGCCAGGTCCAGAGTCTCTCATGGGTCCCTGTACGGCCTCCCATTGCTGCTGTCTCCATCGCCACACTCTGCCATGTGCCACTTTCAGGTCTCCTCACACACTGCTGGTGTGTTGAATTTTTTTGACATAGGGTGCTGGCAGATTACGGGCCTCCTATAGCTGCTGCCAGGCCCCTAATCTGCCATAGGCCCCCTATATACCGCCTCCTCATGCTGCTGCCAGGTCCAGAGTCTCTCATGGGTCCCTGTACGGCCTCCATTGCTGCTGTCTCCATCGCCACACTCTGCCATGTGCCACTTTCAGGTCTCCTCACACACTGCTGGTGTGTTGAATTTTTTGACATAGGGTGCTGGCAGATTACGGGCCTCATATAGCTGCTGCCAGGCCCCTATATACCGCCTCCTCATGCTGCTGCCAGGTCCATAGTCTCTCATGGGTCCCTGTACGGCCCCATCCATTTGCTGCTGTCTCCATCGCCACAGACATCTGCCATGTGCCACTTGCTGCATGTCTCCATCGCCACACTCTGCCATGTGCCACTTTCAGGTCTCCTCACTGCTGGTGTGTTGAATTTTTTGCCCTTAGGGTGCTCTGGCGAGATTACCGCCCTCCTTCCGATTATTCGTGCAGCTGCCCTAGTCCCTAGAGTCTTCTGCCATGCTGGGTCCCTGTACGGCCTCCCATTGCTGCTGTTCTCCATCGCTCCACACTCTACTGCCATGTGCCACTTTCAGGTCTCCTCACACACTGCTGGTGTGTTGAATTTTTTGACATAGGTGTTGCTGCAGGCAGATTTCGGGCCTCCTATAGCTGCTGCCA